TTTCTTCTATAGAAAATAAAGTGATTCTTGCATACATATGTAACCCAGTTAATAAAATGGTTAAAGTTCAGGTATACCTTTGGATAGATGTTTGTTTAAAACATGGTGTAAAGAATATATTTTGTATTATTTGAAATATGTCATTACTGTTTTATTGAAGTTTGTATTCCAATGTATTTTATTTTCTGTCTGTCATTGATTGGTGTATAAAAGGTTTGAGGTACTGTAATTGGTGGAGGAAGAATCACCCGGGGTGGAGGGCGTGGCAAAGGGAAAAAAAAAAAGGAAGGAGAGACGAAAAAAAAAGATGGTGGAGTTAGCGGGAGTTCGGGACGACAGAAAAGTTTTGGTAAATGCATAGTCCATGTGTTTCTGTTAAAAACTTTAAAGCTAGTGGGGAATGTGTGCGCTGTGAACGGACAGTGAACGTGGCTACGTTCTCCACTGGTTTTTACGGTCCCTGAACACCGTTCAAAGAAAGGCTAATGTGAGTTTCCCAAAGCGGGGAGCGGACGCCATTGTAGAGGCTGAACAGTCGCTAGCCCAGCGAACTGTAAAGTTGGACAGTTGCCGAGTGGAACAACGGAGGAGACGGACATCCACCCACGGCCGGAGGACCGAGAGAGGGTCAGTGAGGGATTTGGCGTGGGTTGATACCACACCATTTTGTGAGAACCGGCGTGGGACGTGCCCACGGTGCGGACTCTTGGACAAGGTTCGCCACGTGGTGAGGAGACCAGCTATATTTTTCCACCAAAGTATCAGGCCTGCACCGTTGAAGAAGGGGTACCCCGTTTATTTAATTTACTGTGAAATTGATTCATTTTATTCTCAACTTATTTTCTATCTTTTCTGTGGTTTACGTTTACTCCATGTCTAATACATTTATGGGTAACGGGACTGACATCCTAGCAACCAAGAAATTAGGTATATTTAGTGGGGAATTAGTAAAAGAACCCAGGAAGCGCCCGAATAAGTTTGTTAGGGGCGCTACATAAAATGGAGGCACCGCTGGGATCGGTTTGCTAGGGTGTCCTTGGTTGAATTATTTTTAGTTAACCTGTACGTCCATAGGGGTCAGTATTCTTGACAAAATTTAATAAGACAAACTGTAGGCACATTCCATACCCCTTCGGTTGGTATATTCTGGCAGTGATAATGGAGCCGCTAAGGCAATACAAGGAGGAACTTAAAGGCTGGTGTCGGGGTGAGGGAATTGATGAAGCCCATGCCTTAATGTTAATAATTTCGGATGACTTGGAGGTAGATGACATTGAGAATGCCATGCATAATGTTAAATGTCTTGGGCGAGTGCGGGTCAGA